TGCTAGGCAGTGCAGTCCCTCCCTGTCACAACAGTTCTTGAACTCTATCCTCGTCATGTCCCTTGGAATCCCAAACAGCAGCAGCTCCAACTTGTCTCCCTTCCACAGTTTCTGCTTCCATCCTCCAAGCTTCTTCACCATCCTCATGATCTCTACGGCAACTGGACCGTGGCCACTTGTTTTTCGTGTTTTTTCAGGAAGGTATACGGAATACTCGGCCTTCCCAATCCGAGTGTCCGGCGGGGGTTGTGGTTCCTTTCAGTTCTTTTGCCGGCTCACCGACGCTAAATAGCGCCTCCAACATAGGCTCGTAGTCTAGATCCAAGTTCAAGGGGGGGGGGGCTTAGAAGATTGGGAACTATCACAGCGGTCGAAATTTCGCGTGCTTCTTACAGCGTCTCTCTGCAAGGTCATGTAGGTTCCATGCAACAGAAGAACCACTTCAGAGAAATCAGCCATGCGTAGGAGTTGCGACCATACCTTTCGAAAGTCCGGAACTTGAACCCCCATCAGACAGAAAGCTGCACAGATAGTCCCCGCTGCCTTCTCTAGAGGAATCAAGCTGCGAGGGTTGCTGAATAACCGTGTTTTTCACATATCGCCCAGCTCTTCGTACTACCGATCAAAGTGAAATCTAGCAACGCCTATTACCTGATACCGCTGTCAGGTGATCGAGGTCACCAAGGGAGAACACGAGCCTGTGTTCATCGGTGTGCCTGCTGTGCGGGTGAAGGACGTGAAGTTTGATGTTCGCGAAGGAGCGAGCATGTACTTTGGTGGCGGCAGCATGGGTCTTCGAACGGAGCGAGGCACGTTGTGTTCCAAGTCGTGTCTTGTCCGGTAGCCTAGGAATGCGGGCATTTCGAACGTACCCGACGAACCTCTTGCCTACTGCATTGATGAACAAACCTCGATGTCAAGCAGAATAGTTCGGGCCAGTTGCACCGCGCTGGACATGCACGAGCCATCCGACCGATGAAATGTCCCCGAGAAAGCCACAATGGCACGCAATTTACTACAATCGCTTCTTCTCAAGATAGCCTAGCGGTCAACATCGGCTGCGCTGTGGTGGTGCTGCTCGGCACAGTGTCAAAATTTGATTTTTTCATACATTTTGCGACTCGTTGGTGGGGTTGACCCGTCTTCGCCGCGGAACAGCAAAATACATGTGCGCCCAGCTACCGTCTCTTCCACCATCGCCTGCTCGTTCGTCCATGTTCCCCCCACGATGTTGGTGTCGGTATCGATATTCGTGCCGTCTGAAGATAGGGAGACACTGAAGGAATTTTTAAGGTGGACGGCAAGATCACAAGTACACGCTGACATGGGAGAGGACGGTGGGTGGTATTTATTGGCATTATTGCTGTTGTTGCTGTTGTGGTTTTCGTGGTTTTTGTCGTTCATGATGATGATGTTGTGGCAGTTGTAGGTGGTTGCGGCTGCTGCTGACTTCTGGTCCCACCTCATGTGTTACACGGCTGAACGAAGCGTCCATCGAGTTCCCAGCCGTTCTGGAATGCGTACGTCACAACATGATGACACGTTTTCATGACCAGGTTTTGAGTCAAGAGGGTAATCATCCTGGTTGAAACAAAGAAGTCACACTGGTTGGTATTGCAACTGTAGTCGATTCTTTCTTCTCCTCCTGAACATCCTTGCTTGCGCAGTATTTCCTACCGCTGCTCTCCATCTCCCTGCCTCTATCGCCTGGTTGCACGGCGCCTGGAACTACAAGACGATTCACGTCCTCCGGCGAGGTACGCGTACAGTACCGTCGTTGTTTCTGCCACAAGAGCCTGACTACCGCAATAGTAGTCCACCGCAATAGTACCATCAAAAGTGACAATTGGGCAGATGCGAAGTGTTGGCGAAGGTCGCGACTCCGTTCACCGCGTCAATTCACAGGAAGCTGGAGTCGCAACGCTCGTCGGGATTGGTTTGTTCCATGTTTCGCCTCCGCTTGATTTTGAAATGTTCCCCTTCGTCTCCACTTCAAATTTCATCTAAAAATCAACTTGTTTTGTTCAACATACGTTTGTGCTTATGTCACCCCCTCCCGCCTCCCCGTGCGTGCTGTCTGTGCGCCACATACTACCCGACCGTGATTCCGCATTTACCAACATCATTCCAATACAGAAGGATCTGCACGCCATGATCCGGGTGGGCAAGCCTCCAGCATCGAAACCAACGGCGACTCGTTTGTGTACTTCAACAAGTACTCCGTGACCGTCCTCTCGGACCCTGTGAAGGCTTTGTACGAGGCCATCCCCGACGTCAACGACAACACCGACACGACAGACGTCGACGGGTAGAAGGAGCACCAACAGCAGCAGCAGAACCAGCAACAGCAAGAATCAGAGCACCAGCACCAGAACCAGAACCAGAACCAGCACCAGCACCAGCGGCAGAGTCAGGTTCCCGAGCACAGGCACACCCAGAGCGAGAGGGAACCGCCCCTCACCCCTAGCGAGTTTTCTGCCTCGGCCACGGGTGCTAACGATCTTGCACACACCGACGGAAACCCCCACGTCAACACCGATGACAGCATTTCCCCATGTTCCAACACCGATACTTGCAGCAACGACAGCATCATCGATTTCGATAACCAGGACGGAGAGCACCAGCAGCAGCACCACGAGTACAAGCACGAGCAGCAACAAAAGCCCGTGCGCGAGTTGGAACAAGTTGGAGGAGGGGCAGCCGCCGCAAGTTGACACCAACCTGCCCTTCAACCCCCGCCGAATCCCGCTCTTCACGTCAGACCACGGGGGCTGACGAACAGGCCTCCAATAGAAACTCCGATGCCAGCAAAAGCAAGACCATCGACGACGACATCGTGACGCCCCCTGATCCAAACCCCAGCCCCAGCCACGACACCCACCCCGACCATGAAGCCATCTCAGAGACCAACCCCAGGAAGAAGGCTAAGAGACGCCTTTCTATTATCGATGAGCTAGGAGACCTACCCAAGTCGATGCTGTCCTCTTGCGATCAGCTCTTGGAACCAGTGGCGTTCTCTAACGGTGTTTTGCACGTGACGGCCGATATCGTCTTCAAGAGAAGGCGGGTAAGCTACTATAGGGAATTTGTTGGAGCCTGGGGTGCCTCCTTCTAGTTCTGTACCCTCGATCGTTGTGTGGTGCATTTCTAGATGTTATACTTCGTCTCCCCTGTACCTCTCTTCCGGTCTCTGTCGGCCCTCTGTCGCCCTCTATGTGGAGACGGACGTATCTACTCACGTTTTGTAAATTGCAAGAAGTACTGTGCACATTATGCACAGCTTCAGTTGCGACTCTTCGCGAGATCGGGCTAATATCCCTGTGTTTTGTGGAACAAACCATGCGCCCCTGTCACATCAATGTATCTATTCGAGACTTCTCTGTCCGGCGTCGCAGCTAGTCGCGGTGACTGGTTTCGCATAACGAACTG